TACCAGTCTGGTGGAACTTGCTGGAAATCCACACTCTAGGGTGCCAGGAAAGCTGTTCATGGGCAGGTGTCTCTGCAGAGGCACTCCACTGCAGAATCATCCAGAGGGCACCTGGGGGAGCTGCTGACCCTGGGGTGCTGCTGGCCATCGTGCCCTGCAGAAGCTGGGAGCTGGGAACCCACTTGTGCTGCAGGAGCCTCCCAGGAGGGTTTCTTGAACCCAGAAGCAAACCTTTTCTTCCTGCAATGTCTCCTCAGCCATCTATTGGCAAAATTTAGCACGATGCTGGCTGGCAACAACAACAACAAGAACATTTAGGCCGTGCATAGTGATGGTGGCTCATGCCTCTAATCCCAGCACTTTGGGGGACCGAGGGGAGCGGATCCTGAGGTCAGGAGTTTGAGACCAGCCTGATCCACCTGTTGAAACCCTATCTCTACTACAAATACAAAAATTACATGGCAGCACGTGCCTGTAATCCCAGCTACTCAGGAGGCTGAGACAGGAGAATCGCTTGAACCCGGGAGGCGGAGGTTGCAGTGAGCCAAGATCGTGTCGCTGCACTCCAGCCTGGGTGACAGAGCAAGACTGTCTCAAAAAATATATATATGTATGTATGTATGTGTGTGTGTGTGTGTGTGTGTGTGTATTTATTTATATTTAAAGGGTCCAGACCCATTTTCACAGAGCAGAAAAAAGTGAATTTGAAGCTGAAGATAATAAATTGATAAGTGGCACAGTGACACACCGTTTCAGATTTTAATAGGCTGCTATCCTCATCTTTCCCTCTCTCCAATCCTCCCTTCTCCCCTCCTGACATCCTTACCTCAGCCCTGTCTTTTTACCACTCAGCTCCTCCAAACCTGACCCCTGCCAATCATTACTCCACCAAATAAAGGGGCAATCACAGAACTGGTGGCAGGTGGCTCTCAACACTGGGAAAGAGGAGGTAGACCATAGACAGGATCAGCTTTCTCAATTCAAAAAACCAAAACAAAATAAAATTTAAAAACTGGCCGGGTAGTGGTTCACGCCTGTAATTCCAGCACTTTGGGAGGCTGAGGTGGAAGGATGGCTTGAGGCCAGGAGTTTGAGGCTGTAGTGAGCTATGATCACACCACTGTACTCCAGCCAAAGTCTTTATTTTTAGAGACAGAGACAAAGCAAGACTCTGACTCTAAAAATAAAATTAAAAAAAAAATTAGGTCAGGAGCAGTGGCTCTCATGCGTAATCCTAGCTTGGGAGGCCAAGGTGGGCAGATCAGTTGAGGCCAGGAGTTCCAGACCAGCCTAGCCAACACGGTAAAACACAGTCTCTACTGAAAATACAAAAAATTGGGCCGGACACAGTGGCTCACACCATAATCCCAGCACTTTGGGAGACCGAGGCTGGTGGATTACAAGGTCAGGAGTTCAAAACCAGCCTGGTCAAGATGGTGAAACCCTGTGTCTATTAAAAATACAAAAATTAGCGGGGCATGGTGGTGGGCTCCTGTATTCCCAGCTACAGAGAATTGCTTAGAAGGTAGAGGTTGGAGTGAGCTGAGATCGTGCCACTGCACTCCATCCTGGGCAACAGAGTGAGACCCCGCCTCAAAAAAAAAATTTTCCAGGTGCAGTGGCTAACGCCTGTAATCCTAGCACTTTGGGAGGCTGAGGTAGGTGGATCATTTAAGGTCAGGAGTTCAAGACCATCCTGGCCAACATGGTGAAACCTCATCTCTACTAAGAATACAAAAATTAGCTGGGCGTGGTGGTGCATGCCTGTAGTCCCAGCTAGTCAGGAGGCTGAGGCAGGAGAATCACTTGAACCTGGGAGGTGGAGGTTGCAGTGAGCCGAGATTGTGCCACTGCACTCCAGCCTGGTGACAGAGCGAGACTCTGTCTCAAAAAAAAAAAAAAAATTAAAATTAAATTTAAAAATTAGCTGAGTGTGGCAATGCACACCTGTGATCCCAGCTATTCAGGAGGCTGAGGTGGGAGGATCACTTGAGCCCAGGAAGTCAAGACTGCAGTTAGCCATGAATGCACCACTGTACTTTAGCCTGGGTGACAGAGCAAGACCCTGCTTAAGAAAAAAGAAATATGGGCCGCCCCTCGTCTACACAGACCCTGAGTTTCTGAATAATGACACACTGAAGTGCACCACCAGCCACACCACCAGCCCCACTGGAGGCTGTGTGGGACCTCTTGCTACCATCGGCACACACTGGGGCATGCCCTGCGGTGTAGCCACCACCTTCATAGGCAGTGGGCAAAGTTGAAGTTGTTGAAATGGGAAGTCACAAAAAAAGCAGAGCTGAGACTGCAAGACCACAAGGGCTCATGTTTGCTGGCCTGGGCTAAGGGCCAAGACTGCCACTGTCTACCTTAGACTTCCATTTGATGAACTCTAGCACCTCAAATTAGGGTCACACGGGTGGCCCCTTCCTACCAAATACTCAGGTCCAGGACTTTTCTTTGAACTACATCTTTTGCCCTTGGTGTCATTGACTTCAAGAGACCTAGAGAATTAAAACTCAGATTAGGGCCAGGTGTGGTGGCTCATGCCTGTAATCCCAGCACTTTGGGAGGCCAAGGCAGGTGAGGTCAGGAGTTCAAGATCAGCCTAACCAACACGGTTAAACCCCGTTTCTACTAAAAATACAAAAAATTAGCTGTTCGTGGTGATGAGCACCTCTAGACCCAGATACTTGGGAGACTGAGACATGAGAATCACTGGAACCCAGGAAGCGGAGGTTGTAGTGAGCTGAGATTGTGCCACTGCAATTCAGCCTGGGTGATGGAGTGTCTCAGAAACAAAAAATAAAACAAACAAACAAAAAACCCAAAAACTCAGGTTAGGCCTGCTCTGATTTTGAAGGTTTTTCCTGCTCTGGAGCCTGAAAAGCACCTGTGGGGTTTCACTCTTTTTTTTTTTTTTTTTTTTTTTTTTTGAGACGGAGTTTCACTCTTGTTACCCAGGTTGGAGTGCAATGGCGCGATCTCGGCTCACCGCAACCTCTGCTTCCTGGGTTCAGGTAATTCTCCTGCCTCAGCCTCCCAAGTAGCTGAGTAGCTCCCAGCTAATTTTTGTATTTTTAGTAGAGACGGGGTTTCACCATGTTGACCAGGATGGTCTTGATCTCTTGACCTAATAATCCACCTCCCTCGGCCTCCCAAAGTGCTGGGATTATAGGCGTGAGCCGGTTTCACTCTTAATTCGGGAAGGTTGGAAGACTCTCCAAGCACTCACAGCTGGGTGAAACATCACTGTACCTCCTCAAGCACCATTACAGCCAGCCCTGAGCCAGAGAGACAGAGAACACCACTAGGTGGAAGAAGCACCGCCTGCTCCCACCAGAAGTCTAAATGGATTTCCAGAGGACCCAGCGGACCTCCTGTTACAGAGATACTGTAGTCCTAGAAGAGCGTCTCTCTGGATGAGTCCTTAGGGACGGACCTGGGGAGCCTCCATTTCCCACGGAAGCTCTTCCCGATTATGCTCTTTCCACATTATCCCTTGTTTGTTTGAGACAGGGTCTCTGTTGCCCAGGCTAGAGTTCAGTAGCGAGATCACAGCTCATTGCAGCCGTGACCTCCCAGGCTCAAGAGAGCCTCCCACCTCAGCCTCCTGAGTAGCCGGGACAACAGGCATGCGTCACCTTGCTCGGCTAATTTTTTGTAGAGATGGGGTCTTGCCATGTTGGCCTGGCTGCTCTTGAACTTCTGGCCTCAAGTGATCCGCTTTCCTCTGCCTCCCAAAGTGCTGGGATAATAGGTGTGAGCCACCACACTTGGCCCTGTTTTATTACTTTCATCACTCAATCCCCTGAGAAAGAATTATGACACCTGGACCAGGAGGCGCCTCTGCACCTTATCTCGGACCCAGAATGCTAGGCTTCAGGATCTCTTGTTCTGTTAAGAAAAGAAAATGAGGACTGGGGCTGGGCGCTCACGCCTGTAATCCCAGCGCTTTGGGATGCCGAGGCAGGAGGACCGCTTGAGCCCAGGTGTTCAAGATCAGCCTGGGCAACATAGCGAAACCCTGCCTCAGGTTAAAAAAAAAAAAAAAAAAAAAAAAATTAAAAAAGAAAGGACTGGTTTGGACCAGGGAATCTGGGGAAGGAGACCTAGTGCAGGCACGGGCTTTGGTTAGGCGGTCTTGGGCACCTTCATGGCTCTGCAAGAAGCCACTACATGCACACTTCCTCCACACCAATAGCCAAGCTCCGGGTAAAGGTCCACGACGCAGCCCCTCCAAGCAGCAGCGTCCCACCCTGATCCCTGACTCCTCAGGACTATTTACACCTCCCCCATCAGGCAGGCCCCTCTTAAGAGAGTGGTTCCTGAGAGCTGGGCCCCGCGAGCAAGCCAAGGTGTATTCTTGGTCTCCAGCAAGGACGCCCCTGCTCTGAGCCCTGTGCGCAGCCCGCGGGCATCCCCACTCCTCCGAGAAGTACGGTAGACAACACTCAGGCGAAGTCAAACTCAGCGCCCCTAGCATCCTCCCCACTTCAGCTCGCTCCCATCTCTCCAAGACAAGGCGCCAGCAAGTGAGCCACAGGCCGCACCAGCCCGAGCCTTTGATCCCGGGTGTTCAGACTCAGGGCCCCCCTACCCCCTCCTAAACTCGAACGTGGGGCCGTGGGAACCCCATTGAGGAACCCAGGAAGGTGTGCCGGAACCTTCCCCAAACGAGGCCACTCTAGGAAATTGGGAATTTCACATATCGTTAGCACTTAGTTAACGTTTATTGGCTTAAGAACGAAAGAACCGGAAGACGCCCTTAAAGAACGTGGCGGCAGTCTAGCTTCAATCGGTTGCCTTAACATTTCAAGAAACCTGGCATTCTATGTGGCCCTCAAAAGACGACGCCACCGAGTCCACCACGGTTCTACGAGAACTAAGACATCTGCCCTCAACCATCATGGCGGCGGCGCCCAATTTGGCTTCCTGCCCCTAGAGATAATGGCCGCTAGGTGGCTTCACTTAGTTTCTCACCACCCCGGAAGACGGGGACCGGCGATTGGGCGGTGCCCGGAGGCTCCAATAAGAAGGCCCTCAGCGGTTGGGCAGCCTTGGGTAGGCCTGGTTTTAAAGGAGCCGGAGGTGGGAGCTGCGGAAGACCCGGGATCCACGGGAGGCGGCGGTGAGCGGCGCTTGCGGGAGGGAAAGGAGTGGCTGCAGAGGGCGGGGGGAGGGGGGGATGGGGTGGGGAAGGAAACGTCTGAACCTTCTGGTCCCGGGCCCGGGGAGACCGCTGGGCGGGGACGCGAGGAGGGAGGGGGCGTCTGTGGGCGGGACCTCCCGGGATTGGAGTGAAGCGGGTATCTGCTTGACAGTGGATCCCCGGGGATCTAGACTGAGTTCAGAAATGCTCCATCTCGGGCCGCCCCTGTCTGAGCGGTACTTTGCGGCGCCGAAGCTCACAGGGGAAGCAGAAGCCTTGCCTGGCGTCTGATTGGCGGAACCGCGCTGTAGGATTCTTTCCGCAGGGATCCAGTCTAGATCTGGTGGGAGGGAGGGTCGTCGATGTGTGGAGTATTGCTGTGGAGTCCTCGGCCACTCGCTAGGAGTGGAGGATCGCAGAGGGATCCAGCGGAAATAGCCTCCCAGGACCGGGATCCCCGTGGATCCCGGGGGATTTCGGGGCATAATTTGCAGGGACAAAGGCCTGGAGAGGCTGGGACCGTGGGAGAACTGGGGCCGCTGCAGTCCGGGTTCTGGCGGCAGGTGCCGGACAGGGCGCGAGTGATCCGCTGATCGAGGCGGTGGCAGCGGTAGGACACTCGCTCTGGGCGGCCGGCCGGGGGCGCCCTTTCGCGCCCCAGGGCTACGGTCGCTGGACTAAGGGGAGCTGCGGGCGGACGATGAAGGGCGGAGCCCCGGGGAAGGGGCTAGACCTCACCCCCGGCTCCCCCACTCCCCCTTTGCCCCAGGCCTCAGCCTGGGATCCCCCAGGGAAACCCCGGAGCCGCCGCTTCTCCCATGGACTTGCCCGGGGACTCCAGGTGAGAGCGCACCCCGCCCGCCTGTCTTGAGCCTGGGAGATGGGGATCCTGGCGGCCGTTCGGGGAAACTACAGAGCCAGCGACAGGTTCGAGCGACCGTCCTCTGCTTCTTTCACCCTCCAGCCCGCCTGGCCAGCCGCGTCTGTGCCGCCAGCCTCTGACTCGAGCATTATGGGGAGCCACGAGCCCGAAACGGCAGAGGCTGCAGACCCCGGCGGCCCCTTCACCCCTGGAAAAGGCCTCTCGGCGGGTCCTGGCCGTGGTGCTGGAAGATGTCATGGCTGTTCGAATGGTGAGCACCCTGAACCAAGAGACCCTCTATTCCCCCATGCCTTTCCTCACTACCGAACTCGGGCCAGATCCCTACTGAGGATAACTGAAGTCCAAATCCATCATTCTTGTACCCACCCCTCAGGCAACCTCCCTCATGCTAGAGCCCTGCTTGGCTCCCACTTACTCCAATCTAGAATTGGGCAGTGCCTGTTTACCCCACCAACCTTTCTGGTCTGGAACCACATCCCTGCAACTCTGAGAAACTCTTCTGCTTTCTTTCTTTCTTTTCTATTTCTTTCTTTCTTTCTTTTTTTTTTTTTTTTTTTTTTTTAGAGACAGGGTCTTGCTATGTTGCACAAGCTGGTCTCAAACTGGCATCAAGTGATCTTCCCATCTCTGCCTCCCAAAGTGCTGGGATTACAGGCGTGAGCCATGGCACCGGGCCGAAACTCTTCTGCTTTCTTCCCAGCCCAGCCTCCTTAGGAAGCAGGCTGAGGTCTTTGACTCCACTGCACAGATAAGAAAAACCGAGGCCCAAAAAAGGCAGTGACCACTCTAGCTCACCCTGTCTTTTTCATTTCCCTAAACAGCATGGGTGAGATCACCCAGTTCCCATACCTGCAGCTTAGAACTCTTAATATCTGGCCCCTAATTCAGTCCAATTCATCTCTTCTCTGGGGATCCGAGTGAATTCTAGCCCTAATCTCTGTCATGTTTGGGACTCGGCACTGTTAGGCACAGGGAGACCTTACCCAGTCCAACCCCATTCCATCACCTTGCTCTTGACACCTCTTTCTCTCCCAGGTCCCCGTGGTGCCCCCAAAGGAGACCTCCATCCCATGGCACCAGAGCTACCTTCAGGATCCTGTCCACAGGCAGCCTCCTGCCTTGCCACCCCGGCAGGCCATGTGGTCCTCACAGGCCAGGTGAGCATGGCAGGATGGGAGTAAACCAGGGACCCAATTGAGCCCTTCTAATCTTCCTGTTCCCTCACTAGGCCTCCCGACCCTCTGCATTTGTGCCGAGAGCCCTTGAGCCGAATCCACCGGACCTCTTCCACCCTGAGGCGGCTATCAAAGACAACCCCTGGCCCAGAGGAGGGCCCTTCACAAAACGTGGACCAGGCCCCCCAGCCCACCCTGGTGGTGATGCTGGAAGACATCGCCAGTCCTAGACCTCCAGCTGAGGTATGGGAACTGAGGGTACGAATGTCGGGTTCTGCTGGGTTTCAGCAGGGATAGAATAAGGGTGGGAGGCCTGAGTCTCAGTTGGATTTTTCTCAGTCTAAGGATAGCATTTTAGGTTGCAGGCACTGCCTGAGCAAAGACATCTTTGGCCTGAACCCAAGCAGGTATCTGGGGACCAAAAAAGTCAGGATGTGGGGCACTAAGGAGGCTTCCCTGCCTCCCCAGAAACATTCCCTATTTTTATCCAGGGCTTCATTGATGAGACCCCCAACTTCATCATCCCAGCACAAAGGTGAGAGGACTGGAGAAGGGATTATCAAAGGATCCAGGCAACAGCCATCATCCAGGTAGCCAGAGCTAGGGGCATCGGGACTGACTGATCCAGTCCTTCTTTGTGGCATTTTTATTTATTTTATTTTATTTATTTATTTAAGACAGGGTTTCACCATGTTGGCCAGGCTGGTCTTGAACTCCTGACCTCAGGTGATCTGCCGCCTTGGCCTCCCAAAGTGCTGAGATTACAGCCCATTGTGGCATTTTTAAAACCCTTAAGGGGCCAGGCATGCTCACACCTGTAATGCCAGCACTTTAGGAGGCTGAGGCAGGAAAATTACTTGAGCCCAGGAGGTTGAGGCCAGCCTGGGCAACATAGTGAGACCGTCTCTACAAAAACATTGTTTTATTATTTATTTATTTATTTGTTTATGAGATGGAGTTTTTGCTCTGTTGCCCAGGCTGGTGTGCGACGGTGCCATCTCGGTCACCGCAACCTCTGCCTCCTGAGTTCAAGTGATTCTCCTGCCACAGCCTCCTGAGTAGCTGGGATCACAGGTGTCTCCACCATAACTGGCTAATTTTTGTATTTTTAGTAGAGTTGAGGTTTCACCATGTTGGTCAGGCTGGTCTCGAACTCCTGACATTAGGTGATCCCCCCCACCTCGGGCTCCCAAAGTGCCTGGATTACAGGCATGAGTCACCATGCCCAGCCAAAATATTGTTTTAAATTAGTTGGATGTGGTGGCCCATGCCTTTGGTTCTAGCCACTTGCAAGGCTTGAGGTGGGAGGATTGCCTGAGCCCAGAAGTTCGAGGCTGCAGTGAGTCAAGATGGTGCCACTGCCCTCTAGCCTGGGCCACAGAGCAAGACTCTGTCTCAAAAAAAAAAAAGCAGCAGCAGCAGCCTTAAGGGGCAGAGGAGTTGCTGGCTCAGGTGGAATCCCTGGAAGTTCCCCTAGCCTTTACCTTGCCCTTCACCCCAGAGCTGAGCCCATGAGGATAGTTCACCAGCCAATGCCTTCACCCGGGGACCTAGAACCCCCATTCCAGACATCTACTCTGCCTGCAGACTCTCCGGAGAACCCACCATCGGGTAAGGAACTCGAGTAGAGATGGGATGAGACTTGGGGGTCTGGAACATCCTAGTTGAGCTTGGAAGTGTCAGGTACAGAGGTGGGGGTGGGGCTTAACCCCTCCCAGTGCAGGGCTTGGTATATGAAAGTGGGTTGTCAATGTCAGAGGCTTGAAGTTCAATTCCTAAATGCAGAATTTAGTATTTTAGGGGTGGGCTCACTCCTCTGTGCACAAAATTGAGCATGGGGGGAGGGGCTGAGGCTACTGAGGAGGGGCTGAGACACTGCAGCCAAGGAATGCCCACCTGTGACCCTCTCCTTTCCTCAGCCCCAGATCCTGCTCTGGAGCTCCCATCCACCCCACCACCGTCCAGCCTTTTACGCCCCCGCCTCAGTCCCTGGGGCTTGGCCCCGCTCTTCCGTTCTGTCCGCTCCAAGCTGGAGAGCTTTGCTGACATCTTCCTCACGCCCAACAAAATCCCACAGCCCCCGCCCCCGGCCCCCCCCCATGAAGCTGGAGTTGAAGATCGCCATCTCAGAGGCTGAGCAGTCTGGGGCTGCTGAGGGCACTGCGTCTGTCAGCCCCCGGCCCCCCATCCGCCAGTGGCGGGCTCAGGACCACAATACCCCAGCACCTCTCCCTAAGCCCTCTCTGGGCCGAAGCTACTCCTGCCCTGATCTGGGGCCCCCTGGCTCTGGTACCTGCACCTGGCCACCTGCTCCACCCCAACCAAGCCGGCCACGGCCACGGCGGCACACTGTGGGTGGTGGGGAAATGGCCCGAACCCCGCCACCCCCTCGGCCCTGTCTCCGGAAAGAGGTCTTCCCTCTCGGAGGAGTGGGAGCCTCCCCTTCTCTCGCCACATCTTGCTCGTCCACGGCATCCACTTCCTCCTTCTCCGAACCAGCAGAACCCAGGTAGTGCTCTCAAAATACCCCGCTCGAAGCCCGGCTGCAGCCTGGGCCCAGCCTCCTTCCCTGAGTATCCAGCGGGCATGAGACCGGGATAATGCAGTGAATCTTGTTTGTCCCTGAGCCTTGACCTTCTTGGCAGGTTGGGTTCAACCAAAGGGAAGGAGCCAAGAGCCTCAAAGGACCAGGTGCTTTCAGAACCTGAGACCAAGGTAGGCATGAAGATGGGGGGGAAGAGACCACTGGGGACCTGAGCCCATTTCACTCTTTTACCATCTGCCCATTTTTGCAGACCATGGGAAAGGTTTCTCGATTCAGAATACGCAGAACACCAGCCCGTCCTCAGCTAAACCTTACACCAATGGGACTGCCTCGACCAATCAGGTGAGGGGCTCACTGGGCATTGAGCCATCTTGGCCAAACAGATGCAGTCTCATGTACCCTGAAGTATGACTTTGTCTCCTCTCAGGGAGCACAGTCCAGCCTGGAGAATTCAATTCAGTGTGGGCATGGTTTGTGCTCAGAACTGCCTGTCTGTCTTATGTAGCACTCCTGGCCCTGACATGTCCCAGAAACTGAAATACAGACCAGGACTTACCTGTCCCTTCAGGCCCCACTGGCTCAACGCTTCTCAGTGGCCTCTGCTCTTTGCTCATAGGTTGAACAAGAAGGAGTTCAGCTTGGAAGAAATTTATACCAACAAGAATTACCAGTCACCCACAACCAAGAGGTGAGACACTTGAAAGGCTTGAGGGCGGCAGAGGGAAGCTGGAGCTGTGGGGCACGCTGATAACCAGCTCCTCTCCCTGCCTCGTCCAGGACCTTTGAGACCATCTTCGAGGAACCCCGGGAGCGCAATGGGACTCTGATTTTCACCAGCTCGAGGAAGCTCCGTCGGGCTGTGGAATTTCGAGACAGCAGTCTTCCTCGATCACGACGGCTGTCCCGTGGGGTCCGGGCTGCAGGGGGCAGGACTGTTCCTCCCAATGTGACCCCCAGCCCTGATGTGGGCCCCCTGCTGCGGCAGAGGCTGGAGGAGCTAGACGCCTTGCTTCTGGAGGAAGAAACTGTAGATCGGGAGTAACCCCATTGGACCTAGGTGCTCCATCTGTTTGTTATCCATCCTGAAGGGACGGGAAACCTCCCGGGCCGTTATATTTTTTTCTCTATATTTCTAGTAAAGGTTTCGCTATGTTTCTGATTCTTTTGTATCTCTAGCTGAGTTCAAGATTGATTTGGTAGTACTACCTGGTGTTTCTACATTGGCCCCCAAGGTCTGGGAACTGGAGCTGGTGCCAGGGGTTGGGCACAGGGTACAGGGAAGGGTGGAGTGGTCATTGGCTAATTTTTTTGTTTTTGAGACAGAGTCTCATTCTGTCACCAGGCGCCAGGCTGGAGTACAGTGGTTCGATCTCAGCTCACCGCAACCTCCGCCTACTGGGTTCAAGCAATTCTGCCTCAGCCGCCCAAGTAGCTGGGACTACAGGTGTGAGCCACCATGCCCAGCTAATTTTGTATTTTAGTAGAGATGGGGTTTCACCATGTTGGTCAGGATAGTCTTTATCTCTTAACCTCATGATCCACCCACCTCAGCCTCTCAAAGTGCTGGGATTACAGGTGTGAGCCACAGCACCAGGCCCCATTGGCTAATTTTTTTGTATTTTTAGTAGAGATAGGGTATTACTGTGTTAGCCAAGATGCTCTTGATCTCCTGACCTTGTGATCCACCCACCTCAGCCTCCCAAAGTGCTGGGATTATAGGTGTGAGCTACCATGCCCAGTCTACAGATACTCTTTTGATTAGAGAATTCTCCTCTGTGGAGGGACACTTCTGAATCAGTGCCAGATGATACTGTGACCCTAGACCCCGGTCTGGGTTCTCCCAATTCATTTATATCAAGGAGACTGAAAGGTCTATAGTGGGCCAAGCCCTTGAGGATCAACATGGCCCTGAATTCCTGCTAACATGCAGGCCAGGATCTGCTGCTGGATTAAAGAGCTGCAGGTAGGCCAGGTGTGGTGGCTCATGCCTATAATCCCAGCACTTTGGGAGGCCGAGGCCGGTGAATCATAGGAGGCTAGGAGTTGGAGACCAGCCTGGCCAACATAGTGAAACCTCGTCTCCACTAAAAATACAAAAATTAGCCAGGCGTGGTGATGCACACCTGTAATCCTGGCTCCTGGGGAGGCTGAGGCAGGAAAATCACTTGAACCGGAGAGGCAGAGGTTGCAGTGAGCTGAGATCGTGGCACTGCACTCCAGCCTGGAGAACAGAGCCAGAGCCTGTATCAAAAAAAAAAAAAAAAAAGTAAAGTAAAAAAAAGAGCTAAGGGTAATGGGGGGTAATGTAGCACTCAGGACGACTGTCACAGGTGCTTGACCTGCACATGTCCCTGCGACAGGGAATTAGTCATTTTATGGAGAAAGCAAGGCAGGCATGTCATCGCGTTGTCCACTTTTAAAACGGTTACCCTGGGCAACCGGAGGCCAGAAATGGCTTTTTTTTTTTTTTTTAAGCCAGTCACACTGAGCACTGGGGTGCATCTTTCATAATTCCGAGGCATCACAGGGCAGTGGCTGGAACACAAACATGGCTAGGAGACTACCAGCCTGTCTGTGCGCGCATTCCCGTCCATCCCCGTAAAATGGGGCCGGCAGCATCACCTTCGTGGAATTATTACCATATGAAGTCACTAACGCGGAGAAGCGCTTGGTTCACAAGTGCAAGGCGTTTTCGAATTGCTAGCGCTCAGGGACCGCTGCCAGCAGCCGCACCTGGAAGAATAGCGGGACGCGGCTGCCAGTCCGAGTGACCGGCGCTGGAACAGCACGCGGCCACTCCGGCCACCCCAAGCAGCGGAGCCACCCGGGAGCCGCGAGACGGACGGTGGCCTCGCCACGCGCGTGCGCGAAACGCCAAGCAGTCTGTGGGCCACGCCGAGGTGCGGAAAGGCGGCGACAACGACTCTGCTAGCTCTGGAACCTAGAACTCGCGCATCCGCGCGCCTCCCGACGGCCAACTGCCTCCAACGCCTTGGCTCCGCGTCTCCGCCCCTCCCCTCGACGCTATCAGGAGACGAACCAATAAGCGAACAGCAGGAAGAGGCGGGGCCCTGCGGGGACCACCCCAAACACCTACTTCTAACCAGTCGAGTCACAAGACTGGGGGAAGGGCGGAGCCAATCTGACAACCCAATCCAAGGCTTGAGGACGGTTACATACACCCACTCCCTCGGGTTTTGCTCCGCCCCTCACCTTGGCGTAGCCCTCTCAGCCTATCAGCGACTGCACCCGTGAAGGGTGAGGGGAAGGGGGCGGAGGGTGGGAGGAGGCCGAGAGAGGAAGGAGGTGTAGGCTGAGGAGGAAGAGGGAGGAGGGGCAGGGAAGTCCTGGCGGAGAAGCGCCCCAAAGACTCCAACGGAGACAACAGGAGTTTGCGCTGGAGCTCCCCCGCTGCCCATCGGCCGTTCCAGACCCCCTAAGGCCCAAGTCGGACAGAGACGGAGGAAAGGAGGAAGAGACTTTTATGTCGGCGGACAGAGAAGCTGTACCCGTCACCGTTGCCTCACATCCGGGGCCTTGGAGGGCTGGTCCCGCGGCCCCGCCCCTCCTCGCGCCTTTCATGGCGACCGGAGGCGGAGGCTGGAGGAGCTGGGCACGGAGGAGGTCCCTTTAAATTTCCTTAAAGGGATGGCCACTGAACTCGTCGGACTCAACGCCAGCCTTAAAGGGGAAGCCGCCGAACAGACGCTGACAAATTGAGAACTGTGCCGTTGGGAGAACTGGGACGAGTGGGGTTTTTCCTTTACCTCGTCCTCCCCCACACGCAAGAAGTCCTTTAAATACAGCTTAAAGGGGAAGTGGCCTCTTGTGGAGGACTAGAAACTAACTCCGAGCCTCTAAAGGGACGGTCTGTTTGAAGGATCCTGGACTCCTTAAAGGGGTGGCCTCTTTGAGCCGGAGGACTTTGAGACACTTTTAAAGGGGAGGTCTGCGATTTGGGGCGAGCTTTCGGCCCCTTTTCAAGGGGTGGCCCTTCCTCCTCTTCGGGGAGACTTGCCTCGACCCCTGGCAGGGGGCGGCCACCGCACTAGGCCGCCGGACACGGTCGAGTCGTCTTAAAGGGGCCGGGGGCTGGACAACTTGGGGCCTCGCCTTAAAGGGACGGCCGCCCGTTTTCGCCGTCGCGGCCCCGCCGAGCCCGCAGGGGGGGCCCTCGGGCTTGTCGCCCCGGGGGCGGCGCCGGCTCCCCGGGCCGTGGCCTTGGGGCAAGCTTGGGGCCAGCAGATCCGGCTTTAAAGGGGAAGCCGTGGCCCTCTCGTCCCTGTGCAGCCGCCAGCGTCGCTCCTGCGACCCCGGGCCTGCGGACAGGCCGCTTCGGGCCCCGCCGCCTCCGGATGCGGCGCTGAGGGCGGTCGCCATGGAGACGGCAGCGGCCGCGGCCCCGGGCCCGGGCTGGGCAACTGAGGGGGAGCGGCGGCGGCGGCGTTGCTCGCGCCGAGACCGAGACCGGGAGCAGCGGCGCCGCCGAGGTCCAGGCGGCGACGCGCCCCGGGCCCTGTTGGCCGCCCCGCGCGGCTCCTCGTCCTCGTCGTCGCCGCCGCCGCCCGCCAGGCCTTGGTCGTCAGCTTCGTCTGGAGAGCGGCCCGGGGGCCCGAGACGCCGGCGACCACGTCCCAGACCTCGACCCCCGCGACCTCGAGCTCGGAAGCGGCCTGCGGGCTCGGGCAGCCGCGGGGAGGAAGAGGAGGAGGAGGAGGAGGGGGGCGCAGACGACGGGGAAGCCGAGGAGGAGCCTGAGGAGGAGGAAGAGGAGGAGGAGGACTTGATCGATGGCTTCGCTATCGCCAGCTTCGCCAGCCTCGAGGCCTTGCAGGTGGGGCCTAATGGGGATGGGGGGTTTTGGGGGTTTCCGAGGGGCAGCGAGGAGGGTGCAGTGCCCGGAGTGGGTGGAGTTGAGGGGGAATGCTGGCACCCCAAACCAGAGCAACCGGCTTCTCTGGCCAGGCCTCTGCCCCGCCCTGGGGTGGGAGGAGGTAGAGCTCGTCTCCAGGGACCCGGTTTCCCGGCCCAAAGGGCACTTGGGCAGCCTGGTCACTCCTAGAGGAGTTGGGAGCTTGCCCCTTTCCATCCACCTCAGCCCCACCTCCTCCTCCACAGAAGGATGCATCTCTTCAGCCCCCAGAGCGACTGGAACATCGGCTGAAGCATTCTGGGAAGCGGAAGAGAGGAGGCTCCAGTGGGGCCACCGGAGAGCCAGGGGACAGTTCTGATCGGGAGCCGGGCCGACCCCCTGGGGATCGGGCCCGAAAATGGCCAAATAAGCGGAGAAGAAAAGAGGTGAGTTTGTCCTTTAAAACTCTTTAAGCAGAATGTATTTCCCACGGCCCCGTTTTTCATTAGTAATCCCACTACCCCTTGTAAACAGTGACCCCAGTCTCTTAAGGGCAGAGGCAAACAGGGCAAATTTGAGCCCTTACCGTCATCTGGGTCTGACAAAGGCCTGTCTACGGTCAGGTGCACCTACTTTTGCCTGGTTTTGTGTCTACTTCAAATGTTTTAATAATTCAGAGAGAAGTCAAAGGAACTTAGTTGGGTCGTACATTAACTGTGGTCCCTGCCCTTCCTCAAGGTGGTGGCAGTCCAGCAAGAAAGAAATAGTCAGCAAGCAAACACCTAGACCTTAACTTGAGAAGCTACAGAAGGCAAAGATGGGGAGAGATGCTACAGAAACCCACATGAGGAAGCCGTCATGCTGCCTGGGGGATGGGAGGAGAGTTGTGGTTGGGGAAAGCCCCCTAGGATGTCTTAGTCAGGTCCTGAAGTATAGTCAGAAATTTGCTAAGAAAAGACATGGGGAAAAGTTGTTTTGGGCAAGAGCCCGAAGACTTGAGGATCTGGTGTAGTAAGGAAATGGCGAGAGCACTGGGACATGGGTGGGCAGTGGCAGGAGAGGCAGCTGGAAGGAGAGGCTGAGAGTAGATCCTGGAGGCCATGAGTGCCCTGCTGGGAGCTGCGACTTTCCCAGCCGCCTCAGCAGCCGCCTCCCTCACCTCTGGACTCTGGTCTTCCTCAGGCGTCCTCCCGTCACTCTCTGGAAGCTGGATACATAGTAAGTGCCATCCACCTGTCCTGGCCCCTCCCCTCTTCACCCCGGGCCTCTTCCCTCTTGTGACGCCTCTGTCTTTCCTTCTCCCCAGT